GCGTATTGATTGCACAGGTATTGCATTATAGCACGGCTTTCCACTAATACAAAGCCGTTATCATTGATTGTCGGGAGGTTGTGGTTAGGGTTCACCTGTTCATTCAATTACAATAATTAATTATTTAAAAAATCATACATTTTATTATAAAAGTTTAGACATAAGTTAATAAATATTGTATTATAATTAGGTTTGTATTTAAAAATTAACAATAATTAGACAAATACCTTAAGAAACTCGGGCGACCATTGTTCAGGACCAGGGTTAACCTCGATTACATTCAAATCAATGTTGAGGTGTTTAGCAGTCATGAGTACAGACCGACAAAATTGGCTTAAATTGAACGAGTATATATCGATCGGCATTTTAGTTATACTGTAATAATTATTTTAATTGTAAATTAAAAATATTTTTAGAGATATTTTAAAACTCTGGTTAAAGGTTGCAAATACTTTTCTCAAATGTGAATCAAAAACATAAGGTTATTACATTTTATAGTACACATTTACAATATGTCCTTGGGAATATATCCCGTCATTATGACATTTACATACTGTATACTATACAGCAGAAGTGTTCAGGTGGGTAAGAGTGAGCATTATTACAGTACTTGTAATCATTTTATTAAAAACTAATCACAAATATCATAACACATGTATGAGTAGGGATTAATAATTACTTATAATGAAAGGGATTATAAAAATTGTCAAATAATATAACATTAATTNGGATTAATAATTACTTATAATGAAAGGGATTATAAAAATTGTCAAATAATATAACATTAATTAGGATTGACTCTAAAATGGTTTACCTGTAAAAAACATAAATAAATAATGTCTGGCCTACTCTGCTATACAGTGTATAGCAGAGACCTCAAAATGTATAAAAAACAAAAAAAAATGTTGCACATAATTTATTTATTTCATATAGTGTACTGTACAGTGTATACCTACTGTATCATAAAAATATTCACAAGTATGTCACGCAATGTTTACAATAAATAATTTTCTGAAAATATTTATTTAATTAAATTATTTTATTTTCTTGTTTAATGTATACAATGTAGTCATTTAAATGTACTATAATATAGAGAAATACGAAAACATTAAATAATGTTTTAATACAACAGATATAATCGTATAAATAATTAGCACTGGTTGTACAAATGCACTTAAAATGCACTTAAAATTCACGAAACACCAATTCAGTAGTACTATTGAGAGCTATAGGAGCTATGGCTCTCAACACTATCTGACCACCCAGTACATTGATTGCTTATCACTGATAAGTTATCAGTAATGTTTGTTTAGTGCCTGGATTTGGATGAAACATAAGCGTTTGATGTTAGGCACAAACTTGTATGAGTTGAATGCGGTCTATGAGTACTACATACAGTGCGAGTTGCACTACAGTATATGCAATGAAGTCATTTCTGAAAAGATCAGGTTCATTACTTTTATATGTTTAACTTTATAAAAATTAATAATCTCTCATCATTGAACCATTTAAAGTAAAAATCAAATCTATCCACTTTGGCACGACAATGTTACTCCTAATAAGTATGCACTTTGTGAATTATCAACACATTTTTAAAAGTTTTCAATTTATTAGAAATCACTTTCAATGATACAAAACTAGATTTTTTTGGTCAGGTATATAAACACAGGATTGCCTCACTAAATATACAGTATATGCTACTTTTATAAATGTAAAGTAAAATTATTTGATAATTGTCAAGTCATATAGTAAAATGCCGATTGATTTCTACTATTTACTATTACTATACGAGTGCCCCATCCCGGGCCGTATTCATGACTATCCGTCAGTTGAAACTCAATGCAAATCTCAAGCATATAGACCTCACTGAAGGGCAACAGTTTAAACCAGAATTTTTCAAAGTATGTTCATTTGATTTAATTATTTTGTAAATATTTTAATTAATATTTTGTAATCAATAAAATAGATTAGTCCTTTGCATACCGTTCCCTACTCAGCAACAATGGGCTCGTAATATGGGAGAGTCGGGCTATCATACAATACCTGTGCAACCATTACACAACGGACAGTGGGCTATATCCTATCTGTGCTAAAAAGCGGGCATTTGTCGACTTTTATATTAATATCGACTTTGGTCTGGGTACAACTATTGACAAATTTCTGGTAATTTACACTAAATTATTCAAATTGTAAAAGACCTTGTTTGAATTTTACACATTTTATCTATAACACTAATTATTATACTAGTAATGCACTAAATTTTATTTCAATCAGTATTGTATTTATGTATTAAATGTAACTATAATTATATGACAATTTTTAATTTATAAATAGTTTTGCAAATTTGAAAAATGTGTGGACACACCACCAGATGAAATGACAAAATTCAAGGAAGTCCTACAAGTATTGGATCAATTGATCGGCGATAAGGCATACCTAACGGGAAATGAGTTGACAATCGCCGACCGGTCCTTATTGGCCACCACTGTCTACATAAAGTGGTGTGAAATCATTGATTTCAATGACTTCCCAAACTTGCAGCGCTGGGATTCATGGCTGATGTCTGAACTGCCCTATTATAAAGAGATCAATGATATACCCCGGGAGGTAAGGGATGCACTGACCGCCAAATTTAGGACCAGATTAGCGAAGGGAAAAGTCATAACTAAAATTTATGATTCATTTCTAAAGCATTATTAAAATGTTTTTTAAGCTTACTTTTTATATAATATAACAGAATTAATAATACCGTATATATTATAGTGATTGGGCTTTTAAGACAACTTGGGTTTAACACGTTTATGTCCTGATCCAGGTGCACGTGGTCAGATAATGTACCGTTTTATTGGAGTGTACTAATCCCTGATAAGTTATCTGGTTTGCAGAGACATGCAGTTATATAATATTAAACTCACTTTAAAACCACTTTCTCTATGTCACTGAATTGTGTTCCTAATTATAAAACAGTGTAACTCAACACATATCTTATCCATTCATGGAGGGGTCGTTCACAAACCTATGTTTCATATCTATTATTGGTTGTACAGTATACTGAGTGGACGACCCTTCCATGAAAGTATTAGATTGTATGTGTTATTTTAAGTTACAAAGGGAGTACATCTAAACCTCGAAAAATAAAATCTCGAAAATTATATAATCTATTTTTTAGCTATTTTATTAACTTTTACAACATTTATTGTACAATATATTTACAATCTTGTTTTAACACATATCATAGATATAAATGAAAAAGCAGCCTGTTAAGAACGACAAACTAACCAAAATAAGTATTTTATAATTAAATTTTCTATTTTGTGTTTTGTTTTAATTCAATTTATACATGTATATAATTATTTTCTTAAATTTATCTTATATATGTTTGAAAATTAACCTGCTAAATTTAAAAGATTAAACAATGAACAAATAATCATAGGAATGTATAGTGAGATTCATTAATGAAGTGTTTTGTTAATTAAGTTGTTTCTCAAAGTCTAACACCTCGGCAGCCATTACCCCAAATGTAACATTCAACTGGGTGACATTATGTTCATAAAACTTGACATGGGGCGGGTAGTTCTTCCCAAAACACCAGTCCTTAAAACTGATTTCCTGTCCCCTCAGCACCAGATGAAAGGTATAAAACTCTTGCCTCCAGTTCTTGTAGTACTCTCTGTACACCTTAGGACAGGCTGCCGGTCCGTCCACACCGAACTCACCGATAACCCGGTGCACGAGGTGTGGCCACTTGTATAATATACGTTTGGTGGGTAACTCACCCCCGTTATAATACCACTGATCCTTATCATAATCGCGGTACGTTTGATAGTATAGGTAAAGAAATCTTGAATTTTTATGTCCAACGAGTACTTGACTGCCCAGGTATTGACCCAAATCCCAGTTAAGGGTCATTTCAAAGTGTCTGAACGGGTCCATAGATTTGCATACATACACATCCCTGTCCAGGTATATGCCACCGAACTCCATGAGCACCCGTATTCTGGTTATATCGGACGCATGCCAGTCCCTCCACCCTTCACTCAGGGGTCGACCAAATATTTCGGTAGGTTTTTCTATTTGGCGCACAATTATCCTGGTGTTAATCCGGTTGGCGATACTAACGGCTCGTTTAATGTACTCGCCCTCCAGTTCATGACAATCGCAGTGAATGTATATAATGTCCGGCCGTTGGTTCCTAAGCACCGACACTATGGACAGGAAGTGCGCGAACTCTATGCGATGTATTGCGAACAACACGTAGTGAACAATGTTTGGCACTATTTTGTCCGGATATCCAGTGATGTTGTCGTAAGGATTGGGGTTAAGAAATGTGAGGTTTTCGTAGGGGTAGTGGTAAGTGATTAAGAGATTGTCGTTGGGAATGGGAGCCAAGAAGATGTTGTCATATGTGTATGAATTAACCGGTTGTCTCAATATGTAACTCAATGTTACCATTGCGGTGATTATGATGATTGTTAATAGTAGCAGTTTTCTTTGAATTATCATTTTGTATACAAAATTTTGAATATCATAAATAAATTACAATTAGAGCACACCTATTGAATTAAATTTATATTACTAATAAAAACAAAATTCCTTAAAACCATGGCATAAGTAAAAATGTCTGGACATTTATAAGACCATTATAACTTGTTCAAATCTTATCCGTTCACTCGATATATAGCCAGTAATTAATATAAAGCATAAATTATATACTATCATATTACTGTGACCCCTCCCAAACATAGATTTGTGATCACTTCCATGAGGGGATTATTCAATTCAATGTAATACAATATAATACAATTCAATTCAAATCAATTCAATTTATTTATAGAGTATTTTATGTATAAGATATGTGTTAAGCTACTACCCTATGCCTTATATTGATAATGTACAATACAGTACAATGTATATTTATTGTCATATAAAAGTGACTGAAATTAATCTTAATTCAGAATATTATACAATCAAATGCATTGCTATTTATAACTCTTTATTAATTTATTAATTATGTAATGATATATTTATTTATCAAAACTATTTTATAATTGTTAAAATACAAAAATAAAAACCTAGTTATAAACTACATAATAAATTTTATTATTATACCGTAATATAATACCGTATTACTGTAATAAATATTAAATCAAGAAATTAATTTATAATATAATATGGTTTCAAAGGTATCTCAAAATTATGGGTCATTATTTCGTTTATTGTTATATTTATACTGTATTGAAATTAACATTAAAAAGCATCACAATTAATCAACTATTTCTAACTCAATGGTAACTTCATGTGTAAAATTATTGGCATCAGTTTTGTCTACAATATAATTGGAGTTAATTATAGGAATAATGATTATAGAAATTGTGTTCAAACCAATCATTAAATAAAACATTGAAAAAATATTCATTTCCATAATTCTATCTAAAATTAATGTCATAACAATTGAGGTAATGTTATAACATAAAACCAACATCACGCACACCATATTAGTGAACATGGTCATTTGAGATGTTAATTCATATATTGCAGCGATTAGCGGACCCCCACCTACACCCATGATAGCCACCGTAACCCATAACACGTATTGTGAATATTTGAAACTCGAACACATATAATAATTGCAACTGATACGATAATAAGTCCATAATATAAATGTTTGCCAAAATAGCGGAAACTCGTTATGTTAAAATTACTATATGTTAGAATTGAGCTAGATCAAAACAAAATTTTTTGCAACTATGGTTTTTTTTGCACCAACACATCCATATGATGACTTTT